GTGTACTTCGTGCGATTGTACATGTTTTTTTTATCACGTCGAGATCGCACTTATATGAATTAACGAGTATCTGAATATATATTTATTTTAATTTTTACCACTGTTTCAATGAAAAGATATATTGAATTTTTTCATAGAAAAAGAAGATAAAAACATGGAAAAAACAATTTTGCTGAAGTATCTAAAAAAATTTAGGTAGATATATTTGAAAATAATTTTGTTAGACTATGCAAATAAATTTGTAGGAGAAAAATAAATAGGCACGATGAGCAATACTGCAAAAAGTTTTAACAAACCAATTTGAGCGTTCTACATAATTATTTTGATGATCCAACTAAATTATTTTCAGATTTATATCTAGCTTTTTATATCTAGCTAAAATTTTAGATAATTTAACTTAGATAATTTTATATCTAGCTAAAATTTTAAATAATTTAACAAAACTGTTCTTTTTACTGTACTATTTTTAAAACTAAAAAATCAAGATATAGCGTATTATTTTATTTTATTATAAGAGAAAGATAAAAAATTTTTAGATAACGATTACTTTTGAATTCAATGATAAATTTTAAATGATGATGGGAATTATTAAATGTTTCTACAATTTACGTAATTTTATCGATTGAAGCAATAAGTATAATAATAAGGTAATTGTAAATTTGAATTAATCGGTTTCTAATACTAATATATGATTGAATGTTTACCTTCGCACATTGTATTGTACATATAGTTCTTAGGTCATTTTTCCTCTACAATCTGTGTCACAGCATCCGCAAAAACCAGAAACAAAAGTGAACTCAAAGATGTATCAAAAGTTTAGATAAATGACATTATTAAAAGTAAAATAAGTCTTTGAACTTTATTACAAACTGATTTATGCATATTATTTCTAGAATTTTTCCCATTTTTTTAACTTTCTTTGTGACAACGCTTAGATTTTTTTTTTTTATTACTTCTGACTTAATTCTTTGAATGAGAAATAGATTATGGACATTTCTTTATATATTAATTGACACTTTTATGTTATTTTCTCTATGTTTAAAACTTGTTAATAATGTCTTTATTGTATTTAATTTATCTTTTATATTGTTTTGACTTAATTTATACATTTCAACTTTAATGTAACCTGTCTGTTTCAATTTTAGCTTTTATTTTTTATTTTAACTTCATATTTATTTATTAATATTTGTATTTATTTCATAAGGAATGATCCAAACCATTTTCTTTTTATTTATATTTTCATTTATTTCATTGATTCTAACTAATTATGCTAATTTTGTAACTTCACTGCTGCTGAACTCTATGCAGTCGGAACGTTCAATATTCTTTGAATTTTTCAAATAAATAAAAATCATCTTATTTTAAACAATACACATATATCAACATTACTTGATAATAACCATTAAGCTCTCCTAATTGAAAATAATTCCACTTTTTTAAGAAGATTCTACTTTCTATTTTACAGTTCGAGTAATATTAATGCCTCGACATTTCACTTCGAGGAAAATTTATTCAAGTTGGTCAAAGAATTAATTAAGGTTAATGGTTCTGGAACATCTTATATAATCTGCATCTCGATCAAACATCTCAGGGGAAAACTCGGAAGTTTCAAATTTCTTCTCCTATTTCATAATTTAATTTAGAAAATAATTTAATATAACTCATTAATGTCATAATAAAGCCGAATGTAATACCCAATAAAATTTCGACTTTAAATCAACATTTTTAGGATATCGATTTAGTGCTTATTGTTAGCTTTCTACGAGAGCTAGTAAGTGCCAAGAGGAAATATTTTCATGGTGCGTTCTGCGAGTTAAAAATAATATGCGTAAAGAGTGTGCTATGTCCATTTGTCTCTGACACCATAACACCATAACGTTTGTCAAGAACAGTCTCGAACACGAGAGATGACAGTGATGGCGAAGCCACGAATCAGTTTCGACATCGATTCTAGGTTGTCGTTTTCCCAAACCGTCACACGAAATTTCAATTCAATTCCCGAACGACGAATGAGAAAAGTCGTTTCTGAAACCGACCGCGGTTATGACTTGTCAAAGTGAGATTTTGTCACTCAAACTTCTCTCTTGATATAAAAAAAAAAAACACATAAAAAGAGTAATATAGTAAGAATACATATCAATGTATTTCTTTGTGTACCAATCGCATTTGAACAAAAAAATTGTTAAAATACAAGCATTGATGTGTTTTATATTCATGTAATATATTTATGTAATACATTTTTTGTATTAGAGGCATTGTAAATGATTTAAGATCTTCAAGGAAAAATTAATGGGAAAATATGGCATCCCTGCACAGAGATATCGCCCGGTAATTGCCATAGCTTTCGAAAATTCTCTTAAATATGACAGATGGGAGAACGGCCGAGAAACTCGACATGAATTTCGTAATGGATCTATCATAATTACAGGACTGCATTTTCGACTAATACCGCGTGAAGAATAACGAGAGGCTCTCGCGGAATGAAATTGGTATTAATGATAAGTGAGGAAGTATCGAGAACGTATCGAGAATTGATAATTCGGACTGCGAGTCACTACGACAGTCACATACATCAACTGATGGGCATATATACAGGTATATGTACGCTATACATTGTGGAACCAGTTTGCAATTGGAATCAATACATTGGCGAAACGGTTTTCTAATATCTCGCTTTGATGTCTCGTCCGATTTTATCGAACCCATCGATTTCTTCAAACACAAGATGGGAATTATACATGACAATCCCAGCGTGTTGGAAGCCTGATCAAAAGCGTCACACAAGACAATCAAGAAAAAAACAGTAGACAACTATGAAGAATTCACGAATAAATGGAAAAGAGTTAGTAGTAAAAATAAAAAATCGATTGATGAAACAATTGGTCTTCAGCTTTATGATGGAGCTTGGTAGTATGCTGTTCACAATTCCCGCGCAATCTTAGGAAAATCGCGCGAAGCACCCCACAGGGAGAAGTCTCATTATCTCTGACATGTCAAAAACTTGGACGAGAAGAGTCGGTGACTTTTCCCGATGCGGTATCGAGAGCCGGAGATTGAATCTGCCGATGCGCCATGAATATTCACGAGGACGCGGATGTCATTTTACGCAGTTCATTCGGCGTTTTGGTGTAAGGTGAACCCAACAATGGAAAGGTGCAATCACTGCTAGTTATTTGTGTATTAATCCTGAATAATTGGCAGCTTCGGTAGCGGTATTATCAGTGCTTGTGATCGTCCGTTCGACTCCCGATTGATAGATCACTTCGAATTATGAATTCTTCGAACTCTCAACGGTTAATAAACTCGTCAGTCTCGATGGATTAACACTTCAATGTCAACGTGGACATTTTGTTGAAATGGATCAGATCTCCGCAGATGCGCGCGCTCGAATAGAAAATCCATCAAAATTCGTCGATACCATCGGTCAATTCGAGTACAGCGCTCATTGTGGAATTGGTGGAGAAGAGCGTAATATTTCACGTAGCCTACCATCATTGTAGGACCAAAGGAGCCGTTCGAGAGAGGCTTATTGCGCGGATCCTCTAAAATATGCATCACCGACGGCGTTTACATGTCGAGATACGTGGTATGCTATGTAACATGCAGCACGCCTTTACAGGCTAACGCGATGTACTGGTTGCCCGACGTATCCAAAATTCAAATCACGCGGCACTCTTCCTCGAACGACCCTTCGTAAATGTGGACGTATAAGCCTGTGAGATGTCGAAGGCGCCCATAGACATTACGATTTTACGAGGGAACATAGCGACCGCACTGGTGTCTGGCAAGAAACCAGCAAGAAATGCATATGCATCAAATGTATCAACACGTAATAAGAAGACATTATCTAAGTGAAAAATAACAGCAAAGAATCGATTTCGATTGATTATATGTAGTTATTTCGAAACTTATTTATGATCTACGATGAAATTTCTTAACTTCCTATTTAGATGATCGAAATGGATTATTAGGAGATGATTTATCTAAATATAAGAATGCATCTAAATCGGCAAATTGTTGAAAAGTAGATGTCGAAATTGATGTGAAGGTGTTATCCGAAGAATAACAAACTCCTATTTTTCCAATGACCCGACGACAATAAAACCTGTTGATGGCTAAGTGTAATTGCAAAGATATGTTCGACTAATCGATACGCGAGTGAAAGTGCACGCGCACCATTGGCGATAATAAATATACGGAAACGAGAGCTTTCGAGACATCGAGAGCCCCGCTAAATGATTTAACGACAACAAAAAGTAAAAAAAGTGCGTGTGATCCGTGAGAGGAAAAAGAAATGGAGTCTCGCTGTATAGATCGCCGTTACACGGGTGTCGCCCGACGAAAACGTTACGCGACGTCGTTTGGTCGTCCGTGATCGAAGTAGAGTCGATCTTGATTATTTTTCTTCCGTCGTCAAAAACGAAACAAACGTAGGACAGTCAGCAGTGGCGCCGAGAGTATAAAGTATCAACGGAAAGTATACTTACAAAAAAGTAAAGACGTATAATACGTGTAGATATGTAATATATGCAGTGTAATATACATCATAAAATAGATCAAAATATACATTATTTTATATCAAATCATTAATAAGATAATTCTGTCATTAAATCATAAGGTATTACTTACTAATTGAAAATATAATTTGGAAGCTGAAGCTAAAAAAATTTTTATAAGTAAAAAAATTACACTAAAATATAAGCTAAAATTCCTCGATAAATTAACTTCAAAATTTTCGACTTTGTAACATAATAAAAATCTTCCATTTGTTAGAAAGTAATTTTAACGAAAATAATTTAGCGAAAATTAAAATCTTAAGAAGTAAAAAAATTTACACGTGATTTTGAACATCTACGTGTCTATGTGAGCTTTTATTCCAAGCTAAATGTATACTGTGTGTATATATTACATATCGTGTAAACAGTAACAATTCCAACCGAAAAGAAAGGAAGAGGTGTGTCTGGCTGGTGTGCAGGCAGGCATGCTAAGAGTTACGTTACCTAGGGTGAGCTTCTCGCCAGAATCGGGCGGCAGGGTGAAGCCCAATAGGGCCATGCTCGATATCAGCACGCAGGGCACGATCAGGTTGAAAAAGTAGTAGAGGGTTCTCCTGCGTATCTGTATCGTGAACGTGACGTCAACGTACGGCTCCGGGCAGCATTGATATATTAATGTGTTCTTCTTTCCCGGCATACCTGGAAAAAGTGCCAGCACCGATGTACACGCCGACATATCTGTCCAAGGGACTACATATGACATGGATACATTTCAACACGGCGGAGTATAATCGCTTGCCTATCGATTGTACTCCTCGATTATATTCCAATCCTCACTTTCTTTTTTTTCTATGTTTGCTATTATATTCCAACCCTATTTTTCGTTCTTCTGCCGAGAACATAATAAAGCACTTGCCTATAAATATATCACTACCGCTATATCTCTTTATTATTGCTACCTTTGTCTTCTTTACTTTTTGTTACTATATATCTATATTGTGTCTTGAGGGGACTAAAAGCCCAAGTCATAAAGTTGGGTCTATCTATCATCCATCCATCTGTTTTATCGCGAGGCTACGAACTGGTGAGAGAGCCGTAAATGTTGTCAAGTCATGGCGGCACCCAAAGATTCGTGCGAGCGAGTCACGTCGACCTTTTTTTATAACAATTTTTCTATGGTTCTCGCGGCCTTGTTTTAAATTACCTTAGGATTACGACTCGACTCGTAAGGAACAAAAAGACCTTGTGGATTTGCGAATTTCCGCTTCCATTCCAGTCCATTGCGACGAGTTAAGCTATTGGTAAAACAAAACTTGCCATCCTCGCGAATTTTAAATACGATGCATCTGTCGATGCATTTTCTCGAAGATAGTGGAAACTAAAAACTAAAGGAGATCTTTGACCGTTCTATATGTTTTTCATGGATGGAGGATTTCTTAATAGCTTCTGATCAAACGGGCTCTCGAATCGATCTCGAACATCGCGGAATCGGACACTCACTTGTTGCTGGCTCGTATCTCAGAACACTTTTTCTTTGTATTTCGACGCGTGGACCACGCTCGATGCATCTGCCTCGAGATAATTAACGTGTTTCCGAAAATACAACTTTAAAACACGACTTTAGGGGCAACACTCTTAATTACGCACATCGATGTGTCGATTGTATCGACTATCAACACAGAAGAGCATCGAATGTATCATTTTGTTGGTCGAAAGCATCGAGCTGTGTCTATGCGTTTTATTTTTTGACAACGTAATTGAGTACACTTTGTCTCTGTCACTTCTTAAACAGCCGGAGTTTTATTAATTAGCTTCAAATTTTTCTTCCATTTATCTTTTTTATTTTGCATAAAAAAAGATTACTTCATTCACTTCCATTAGATTCATTAACAAAACAGAAATATAAGTGTATATATCACTCATTTATTACAACAACACAAGTAAAAGAATCATTAAAATTTTGAATCATTAAAATTTTGTAATTAATTTTATTACAATTCGATTAATTTTAAAATGCAATTTTAGTGTAAATAGTAAATATTACTATTTACTACTAGCTATAGATAGATAAAATATGTTTTTTTTTAATTATTTCTTTTTCCCTTTGTTACCACTTTTTTGCAAACAATTAAAAAAATTTCAATTTTTAATTAATGAAAAAATTTTTAATTGTGTCGTTGTTATAGTAAACAAGCAATATGTTTCAAAATTATTTTAACTAATAAATTATTTTAACTAAAAAAAAAAGCACAATGTTACTTTTTATATTTTCATTTCTTTTTCTCTCTTGCAGTTTCATTTCAGGAGAATGCACTTCTCTTTTTTAAAGGCTCTCTCTCTCTTATGCGAAAATCTTCAGGGATTTTTTCAAGCTGCTAGACCAAGACTATCATAGATTCTATCTCTCTTTGCAGTTTTGGCGTGTCGACAATCCCGAATCCGCTTCAAGAAAACCGTCATACATGAAAATAGCATTTTCCGATGCGAGCTCAAGGAATGCAGTCGTAAAAGAACATAGCCAATAAGTGACGGGTAAGAAAAAGAAAGAATACAGAAAGGAAAGAGCGCTATGCTAGGTCGCTATAGAAAATCACCGCCATAAAGTCATACGCCATTGCGGCATCACCGAGACATGGAGGCTTCATAAAATCTTTCGATTTCTATTTAGTCGCGATCGTGATTTCGCGCGAAATGAGGAACTCTAGGATGACATCGAAAGGAATAAGAGAAGAGAGAAGGAGAGGAGAGGAGTTGCGGTTTCTTAACGGCTTCCATCAGCATTCCTTTACACATCAATGACGCTGTTTCGTATCACCAGTGAAATTTGCGTTCCAGAATTCAGTTGAGAAGCTGGAACGAATCAGGATGACAGAGATTTTGTTTAGCAATATAGCCCCTCTTCTTTTATAAAAGCTAGAATTTATCACAAAAGGTGGCGCTAGAATAAATGTTAGAATGAAGTTTACGAAAAAATATATAGAATTTAAAAAATATTTTCGCTGAATAAACAAACAGTAGTATGATTCAAGATAAAAAAGAGGAAATTATTCAGTTTTTTAAATAATGATATTTTTTTTTACAGAGTTGAGATGCCAGAACAAATACATTTATATTCGTGAATATTTAATAAACCGACTTCATAAAGACACAGTCACAACTTGAATTGTGTATTCGTATTATTTCTTAGTGCGATGCATTCAATATGTGACGCAAAGCCAGTTGGAAGCAGAGAACGAGCTCGTTAAATTGTGAGTACAAGTTTCGGAAATGAAGAATGGCTTTTAAAAAGTATACGAGATCTCATGCTTGCGCTGATATTGAACATAACCTGAATTAATAGTTATCTTGTCTGTGTATGTAATAAAATGCGGATGAGAGATTATACATTTAGCTGTTGAGATGTAGCCGCGTAATTACTGCCCGAAAATAGAATCGTTGAATTCCATAATAGCTCCTTGCAATATATTATTGCATTCTATTCGTAATTCCGTTCCCATTCCGTACTTTCACAATGTACACGCTGTACAAACAGATTCGCAAATTGCAACGGATTAACGGTAGATGTATGTATATATCATTGTGCATATGTGTCGAGAACACACGAGGATGAACGCGAAACGGCCAGAGAGAAAATTTAAATTATGTCAAACTGACTTCTTTCTTTTCTTCCATATTTATATTAATCATTTTTTCTTCCTAAAATAATTTTATGGAAGTGCAAATAAAATCAATTATTATGCATACACAGAGAAAAATGTAAAATAATATACGCTAGAATTCTAGTAAATTTTATTAGAATCAGTAAGTTCGTATATAGAAACAGGCGCCTACTTGTGTTAAAATTTGCGTTACTTTTTTTATGCAATTGTTGTATAATCATGTAAGATATTTTTTATATTTTTGTGAATTTCGAGAGTTATTCGTGTTTAGTCTTGAAAATAGTACGATTTATTAATAGCTGAGATTTAGTTGCACATTTCGGCCGATTTTCAGTTTGATTCCTGCCCAACCCGCGCGCAGTCTAAATGCCGATCGACATTTAGGCTGCGCACGGGTTGGTGAAGTAAGGGGCAGGAACTAAGCTGAAATTCGGCTGAAATGTGCAACTAAATCCCAGCTCTGAATTGTGCTTTATTGTAAAGTAAATCTGGAATGGATTTACTATATTGTAATGTACTTTTTACCTTATCTCCAGCATTTTTACTTTCAGGCAAGTAAAGTTTGTCAAAAATTTGGCAAAGTATTTAATACAAAAAATAGCCAGAATTTTTATTTATTTTTATTTTTACTAATCTTGTAAGATAAAGATTATTCAACCTTTTTTTTCATGTAAAAGCGAAAATATATATTAAAAAGTATGAGAGTGAATTTAACACCATAAGTATTAAATATCCATGATGTTAAATTTACATTACGTTGGTTATTTATATCAACATCAGTGCGGTGAGAATTATAACATCGCATAGTATAATATTTATATTAATTTTTGATATAAGTTTAATAATAATTAAAGAGTAGCCTTTTGACTGATATTTCACCGTTAAAACAATGCATCAATCAAATTTTGGTTTAGAATTTCATTCCAATCAGCAATTTTTAATGAGAGACAAAGTGTCATAAACAATCGTTGATATTTTAAGCGTTGCTCTAATACATATTTGTTTTAAATAATATTAATCAAATAAAATTCTTAAAAATTTTTATTTATCCTTTATATATATATAAAGCTTTTATATTTGAAGCAACGTTTTATACTTCCGCATTCGCTGTAGAATCCATTCATTGACGCGCATCGAGTCGATTCGAGATTTTATTCTCAGCCTTCTATAGGCACGTTTCTTTACACATACAAATACAGACACAAATACACGTGCCAATACAGAGGCAAAGTCTGATTGGCAGGTAAACTTGCTCAATGAAACTCACCGATGAGGTACCATTCCCCGTTCATGATGAAATCGGATAAGTCACCACCCTCCTGTGAGTTGAGTACCAGATCGAGCTACCAAGGTCAAAGTTTGATTAAGACGGGCACGTATCTACATGATAGGGACATTCCGTTAGGTAACTCGAAGCCGAACGTATGCATGCAGCTATGAATTCCGCTTGCATCTACATCTACTCTACGAAATGATGCATTTGCAAACCGTTACATGATAAGGCGTGCAACGGGAGAATCCGCTCGGCCGTGGGGCGGTGCGAAGAAGAGACGGTGATTTCTCTCTCGTGAAGCAGCACCGTGCGCGCCTGGAAAAGCGCGTTAGTGCGGCCGACAGGCGGAAAACTGGCTCTTTATCGTTGTTGAAAATTGCTTTTCACATGGTCAAGAAGTTCTCATTTCTGACGAAGTGTTCATAACTTCCTCGGTTCTACCACGAATACACGTAGCAATCACATGGCCGCTTTACGCGAAAACTTGTATCGTGTGCCGTTGTAAATGTTTAATAAGGCAATATACGTGCGTATGTATATATATATATATATATATATATATGTATGTGTACCATCTCTACTAAAAGTTGGAGAAACGGAAATTGATTGATTTTAATTTTCGAGGAGTTTCAGACTATTATACATCTCACGATACAAAATTTTCGAAGATTCAAAACATTTTTGCGATAATTCGATAAGTTCTTTATCCAATAAGTTTAATAAAGATGTTAATCTAAGAGCAAAAAATAAAATCAATAGTCTTTATTTTTCGTATCATACATTTTCCTGGCGATAAATATTAGTTTTAAGAACAATTTGATTCATGAGATATGGCGCTTATAATATTACTCCGCATAGATATTTTAATGTCTGATAAGAGCTAATCAAAAGATTGTACAGTCTGCTACTTGTCTATGCGGATATCGCGCTGTACAATTATATTAAAATAATTAAAACGAAATCTCGAACAAAAGATTCCTGTAGCTTCCATCTCTTCTCTTATCTACGAGGATTGGAGGACGGGAAAGTGACGATGTTGGAGATATCTTGAAAGGATCTTCCATTCTTTTTTAAGTCCCGTGTTGCTCGCCGGGTATCTGTTGCTCTTTGATCTACAGCCAAATAGGATATGGTTTGGCTGATTCCCATGGGCCATTGAAGGCTTCAAAAGAGCTCTTTTTCAATGGATAGAATTACCCTGGATGATTCAATATTTAATCATTTACAGAAGCGCGTTATCGTAGAAAGATCTACGTGAATCATAAACCGAATGGGATAATTTTATGTAAACTCGTAAGTATTTCGATATTTTCAATATACAAGTCTTTGCAAACGCAAACGCCTTTTCGTTCCTTTTCGTTTTTCGTGATACCGGCGAACGTTATTTCTTGAACGAGAGATATTATTATTCGTAAAGACGTTATTTTCCAATATTCCTGGGCACAATGAAGGTAAAACGAATTTGATAAGACTTCAACAGTCCTCGATGCACTTTCGAGCAGTACATCTTCTTTTTCTGAATATATGTGCAAAGATCCGCTCGTATACTAAGAAAATTGTAAAAAGGTTCTCTTGGAATGTAGCAATCACATTTGCAGTTCGATCGTCACCGATTACGTCGCATTTATTTTCTCGTTCTCAAGAAGATTTCTTATTCGGTCATCGACTTGTCCAATCAAATCAATTCGTTCATCCTCTTGCCATCGTCTTTTCTCTTTCCCATCCAAATTGATCTCTCTCTCTCTCTCTCTCTCTCTCTCTCTCTCTCTCTCTCTTTACCTCGATTATCTCCCATAATAATTCCCGGAATAATTTCGACGAGCAAATACCAAATTGCCAGTTACATGGCAAATGCTTGTATCGTGAATTCGTAGCGAAAATTATGACAGATACACCGGGCTCATAAAGTTAGCCCCTCATAATTCATTGCGACACGTATATTTTGCCTTCATAGCCCAGTTCAACCCTTATTCACGAAGCGGTTACATGTGGTTTACTACGCCAACGTGATGCATCGGGAATGGACGTCTCAAGATGTAAATGCAGGCTGTGGAACGGCGCCGCAACCCTTTAACTAATTAAATTCAATCTTCATATATAACGCCTCTTATCCGACAGGCTTAATCAAGCCAATGACGTTAAGAAGTGGTCCCGGAGGATCGGCTTCTTGTATGTGCATTCGAGTGTCTCGTCTAATAATCATAGTCTCTCGAGTGATTACATTTGGGAATGAGCCGCTTTTCGCTGTCGACCGCAGATCCCATCTGTAAAATCTAGAATCGTAACCGGTATAATTATGAGCCAGTTCGATTTTCTGCGTACGAATGTACCTTACAATGTCGTGCTTTCATCAATTTGAATAAACATTGCATGGTGAGTATTCCCGTATAAATACGTAATACCGAAATACGAACCTATAAACCTAAATTATATCGGTTTCAATTCACACTGCAAATGAAATGCATGCATGCAAACATTAATTAGTAATCAGTTAGAAATGACGCTTGACGTCATTTCAATTGCAACGTAAACGATAATTAAATGAACGCTCCGGTATCTTTAGAGGTGTACGGAGGTTATAAACTCGATCTCCGAGAGACCTTTTTATTCACGAAACTCTCTGAAATATCGACGCTACACGGTCGCTTTAGCGACCGTCAGCTTGGAGAGCTTTCAAGAGTTACTCGCGCATTGAAGATGTAATTTTACGAAATAAGATCACATCGAAAAAGTATGACGGCAGTGGACTTGATGCAGAGGAAGGATCGTCACGGTCGAAGCACCAGTCACGCTCGTGTCTCGCGACGTACAATCGCGACTATAACGTTTAAAGCCGATTCAAACAGTGAGCACAATTAATCATGCTCTCTCTTATAGCAAAAAGAGTCACAGTAATATCATAATAAAATCTTAGTGACGAGCGAATGGCCGCTTTGTCACAGTTGTTTGTGATATCGCTACGATATCATGTAACTGTGATAAAAGTTACCTCTCACTTCTGTGACATCAAGGTAATAATATGATGTCGCTGTGACCTTTTAATAATCTCACAGTAACATCATAATTTATACATGATTATTGTGAATTCATTAGGATGTGAATGTAACTTTATTTGCTATGGAGGCTTTATTAACGAGTTTACATTCACGAGTTTACACGAACTCACATTCAGGCGTTTACACATGTATACATGTACAAACATACACGCGCATGTTTCCTCTGTGATTAGGAATCGAAACTGTGAGCAATAATTGTTTGGCGAGTTCAATTCTCGATGCTTCGGACATGAAGAGTGCATTTTACTCGCGCGAATGATCGCGGAATATGTATTTGAAAATGATTTTCACAATCGGACAGCATCGTAATCCGAACTCACCAAAATTACTCGAGTTTCAATCCCTGTTTTGTAGTTTACCGATGCGCGAACACGTACACACGAACACGTGACATAGGAAAACGGGAATGGGAATCTGCGTGTTAGCGGTGGAACATCACCTACGCGTCGTCAAGAAAGCATGCAAGCTACGTCGCGCCACGACACGAAACGGCCATTAATTTCTGTACATATATATACACACACATGACATGCGACACACACACTGTACAGACATATCAATCAATAACAGTTGATGTTGATTCGTTGAGTGACGGAGGGCGAAATGGATCGAACAAAGTACGGGTGTACGACATATAGACGACAAAAGTCTTCAAGTTTGGCATAAATACAAGTATATAATTTATGTCATATGGGGGGGGGAGAGCAATCGATATGAGTCGAGGGCAGGGGAGGGGGAGGCAAGGAGAGACAACGTTTATATATAGCAGAGTAATAGAAATGCGCTCGGAATGCATTTCAATGGGGGCAGTGCAACCTGCAGCGACGGTGACGGCGATGCAGCGGCGCGTAATCGGGAGATCGAAAACGAGCTACGCGTTTCGGCACCTATCCCATCGGAATCACGATGGATTACAGCGATCGTAAATTTCGCGAAACGCATGCGTGCGTGCGAAAACGTGTATCGGGTGTCCTCGCCATTGTCGAGAATTTCAGCTCGATTGGATTGAGTGTTTAATAGCAGCATTTTAATTGATCCTCGTCCAGCCTTTAACGAGCTCTACAAATACGTTTCCGGAGTTCATTGGAAGTTTCTGAAAAATCACAGTTGCGCCATTGATGAGAGAAGTGTGGCGGTTCCTCACAACGAAAAAAAAAAGAAAAGAAAAAGGACTTTCGTTGCATGCAATTGAATTGTTCCGGTCGATAAAGCTCGACTTCCTCGACAAAGCCATAATTTAACGAGCGAGACTTCCGAATGTTTTTCAACATTTTGAATTCACCGAGAAGGACCGAAGTGAACTCGCACGAGAAACATGCAAACGAGCTCGGTATTGATCACCGAATCTCGGGCCGATCGTTCCGCTCGTAAATACTAAATTCGCGATATATATTCCACGGGCGCGCGCATATATGCACGCGCACGTGCGTACGCAGTTTGTGCTTTCAGTTCGAGAGAGTCGTTCCTGCGTGATATTGAACAAGGTAAGGGCTAACCAACATACGGCCTATCGCATCGTTTGATTCCTCGTGTAGAGCGTGATCGATACGCGCCACTAAAATATGCAACAAAAGCCTCTTTTCTTATTTCACGCCAACATTTTAAATCCCGTAAAATAGGGAGGACGAAGATGAAACGTTATTTCCCCGACATAAAATTCCTAAATCGCAATCTCTACCAATACTTTCCGCGTTATCTCGATTTTTTTTTAAGTGCGACGCAAGAGATGACATCCATGAGATATTTCGTTCGTATAAAATAGCGCGTAACGCATCATGAAGTTACAAAGGTCACGCGTGTTCATCGGTCGGTTGAATGCATGTTTTTTTTTCACGCGCGAAATCGCAAAAATCGAGTTAAAATCAAAGAAGAGGAGAGAAATGAAAAAAAAAAAAAGAAATTCCATCGCTGTCACCGCGTCGTATGCTGCACTGCGAAAGAAGAGCGGCGGTAATGGGCACCGCCCAACATTGCGATGTACCTTTATGGACATGGGGGAGTTGGGGATTTTACG